TTTTGGTTTTAATTTTGGGATTTGGGGTTGGGATGGTGGAGGTTTTTAGGTGACAATTGTGATAGGGTAGTTGGTGGTGGCGATAGGGTGAGAGAAAGAAGATGATTGTTTTGTTTTGTCTTTATTTCTTATTTTTTAATTTAATAAATGTAATTATTTGATGTGATAAATAGAAAATTATTCTCGTCCATTTTAAAAATATTAAAAATGTGATCAAAGTTAATTTTTTTTTCAATTGACGAAATTGTGAACGGAAACTGTCCAAAATGGTCTCATTTGCAACGTTTGGAAATGTTAGAAATAACGATTGCAACAAGTCAAGTGTTTGGAAAAAGTCTACTAGAGTTTCAAATGTTTGAGCTTTTGCCACAAATTTTTCTTATTTATATTGGAAACATTATGCAACTTCAACCAGTTTTAGAACTTTGAACAAGTGTAATGATATGGTTCTATCTTGGATGCTAAACGTTATCAAATAGTTTAGCAAGCAAATCTATTTACTATGATACTCCCACGAGTCTTTAGGAAGAGTTCAAAGGACATTTTTTTTTTCATATGGTAATAATCCTTGAATATACGAACTTAAGAAAGCATCATGCAACCTCGTGGAAGAGCATAAATGAACGTATGAAATAACAAGACATTATTCATTAAATTAATATTACATGTAAAGCAAAAAAATTTCTTTATTTTTCAACCACACATTTTCTATCGATCCACTATGCATTTTTTTCATAAAAATGGAGCTCAAACATCCTCTAAATAACTAGGTTCGTGAGATATATTGGGTCATAGGAGATTTTCTCATTCTTTCTCAAGATCGAGATATCCTATTTTTCACCAAAAAGGAAATATTATTGTATTTATTGTTACTGCACTATTCATTTTAGTTCCCACCACTTTGTACTTATCATTTACATAAAAATCGTAAGTCGAAATAATTAATTCAATTAAAATTTCAAATGAAAAAAAAAATTCATATGAATTGATCAAAGCATTCATTCAACATGTGATGTAAAAGGTTTATAGAAATGGATTCATATTCAAAGATTGCATAATTGCATGGATAATCTCACACTAACTTGTAAATCCTTCATACAGTGACAAATTTTGTATGTTACTGCCTATGTTTAAAATCGTCATAAGAAACAATGAATTTTTTGATCGAAATTCACTCGTAAGAATGTGGACATCAATAAATGGAAAGTTGAAAATGCGTGTTCGAGGAAAAAAAAATTCAAATCTAACTAGGTGAATGTTTGGGTTTCATTATAATTGCTGGAATTGTGATAAAAATGATCGATAGAAAAGTAGATAATAATCGTAAATAGAATGACTCAACTATTTGGTTCTGATCAAAATCTCAAAATCTAAAAACATTTTTCTAAAATTTTAATTCCCCATTAAATCTCATCAAATTAAATTAATTTTTTTTTGCTCCTATTTTCAACTACAAAATCTTCAATAAAATAATATTACACGCAAATCAAAATTTTTTCATTTTTTTACAATCATCCATTTAAAAAATAAAACACTATTCTCCCCAATATAATCAAAATTAATGGGAACAAACGGGGGCTTGTTCGATCACATTAGATGGAAATTAATAAAAGAAAAATGCTAAATGATCTGCAACGGTGACCACATGGATGACCGCACACTCACTATCGAGGTGTGAGTTCCGTGTAAGTAAAAAAATATTTTCTCCTCCTGTATGTGTATTACGTCAACCGTGCAGTTTCGTCTAGCATGGTTCTTAATAAAAGACCAGCTTCATAAAAAACGAACCTGGCCTCGAGACCCTGGTTCCCGGGCGCACCATATAATGGAACGAAAAAATTGAAAAAAAATATAAAAGATCGCATCATTTCTAATTCCTCATAAAATATTTTCATAGAGAGAGAGACAGATTCTCTCTCCAAACTCGCCCATCTGAAAAACGAAGAGGGAGAAAATCTTACACTATTAGTACTGTACCCCATATTCGATGATTGATTTTAAGTCTTTAACAATTGTTAACAAGTAATCGGACTGAAGTTTAAAAGAATAATGGGGGAACTAGGGCAAGAGACCGTGGATTTCAAGGCGCTGGTGGGCCGCGCCGCGGAAGAGTCGTACGTATTGCTGAAGGAATTGGTGGAGAAATGTAAATCTGTTGAACTCTCTGACTCAGAGAAGAAGATCACGATCCTTAAATATATTGTTAAAACCCAGCAACGGATGCTCCGCCTCAATGTTCTCTCGAAATGGTGCAAACAGGTCTCTTTTTTTCCCTTGAATACTCAATTTAACTTGTATCAAATCTGAAAGTTTCTTGGCGCGTGGTTGAATTAATAGGAATTTAATATTACACATTTTCTGTGAATATGTTTTGTTATGTTTTTTTACTAGGGTATACTTTGTTTATTGTTTGGCTAGGGAGGAAAGAACAAGATTTGCATGTGGTTTATATTGAGCTAGGAAAAGCCAGCTAGTCTGCTCTCTTTGGACTATTGGAGTTTCGCTATTTCTTTTTATCCAGTTGAGAATTTTATTCTTGAAAACTATCATTCTTGCTTCCCCTATATCTTGAATCATTTCGGATGCACTCTCATTTTAAGTTAAATTGTTCTCTGTTGGTTGAATTCACCACTACGTGGAATCAGACCAAGCCTTTTTATAGACGTGTTTCCATGAATCTATGTGGATAAATCTGGGTCAGTGATCGAATGGTCCTTTGACCTTCGTTTGATTCTGACGAGTTCACTGGGAGGCTAAATCCTCTCTTGAGAGTTGAGATTTCAATCCTTGTTTTCGCATACAAAAAAACTCGCTCTTTATCCTCTCTGATGGCTAGAGTCAAAATCACATTTTATCAAAACCTCGTCTATCGCACTTCAAGATTTTAGAAAAAAAGGTGACACGAGCCTCAAAATCTAATAGAAGCATGTAACGGAAACTTGGGCATTTACTGTTTGCATCGTATTCACGATTTATTTACATATTCGAACCAACTATGACTGGGAGTACTCACCACCAATAATAGCATTTCAACCAAAACTACTTTGTTGGCTGAAATAATTCTTTCGTCGAAGACTCTAAACTATAATACTTGTTATTGTACGACCAACCAATTCCTTAAAATAAAGGATGGGGCACTTGGATAGGTGCTATGGCGGACTGGGTGCTGGTGAGAAAAAAAATTTCATTTAGAAAAATCACTATTATAAAAGATATGCACTAATGAATGCGAGAGATAGTGCCCCCTTTGTGTAGTTAAGGGAGTAATTTGGAATTTAGAATCTAAAGGCCAAATTATGCTAAATAGAATCAAGAGAGAATATATTTAATCACTTCCGTTATAGTAAGTATAGGGATAGTGATAAGGTTACGACAGATGATCTCTCCTTAGAAGTGATTTCTTTAGTTATAAATGCATAGCATCAGAGCTAGGTGGATGAGAGGTTAGTTCTACATAATTGTAGCTATGTTTTATGGTATAGAGTGTTGGGTGGTCAAGGACAAAATTTTCATACGATGAATGTAGTGGATATGAGGATGATAAGATGGATGTGTGGTTATAATAAAATGAATGTGATAAATGAGAATATACGACAACAAGTGGAGGCACCAATTGAGGAAAAATTAAATGATGGATGGCACAGTTGGTTGGGCCACGTTTTGTGTATAATTAAAGCGGCACTAGCTCATAAGAGTGACGTGGAGGTGTTTGGGCATGTTTTGTAGTGTCCAAGACACGATGAGTAGGAGGTAGGTCAATTTTGTAAGTATTTTTGTCAATTGGTTAACTAACAAAGGCCATTAGTTTATGGAAAGCTTTGTATACTGGAGAAACCGTTCTTTTCAAACAAGAATGTCAGGCAGAATGTCCCCAATCCAGTAACGATGCCTATTTTGCTGTCTAATATGCCGTTCACACACAATTAGGGAAGGAAGTTTGTGGATGAATTCGATGTGGCCTTCAATCATCGTTTTCGAGTTGAGGCGGAGGAGTTTGCAATTTCTGTTACCAATCTTGGTGCTGTTAGACTGACCGAATGGGCCTTGAAGATATCAAATGCAATTAGCATGGGAAGGTTTGGTGCACTTTGGATGGTGAATATGGTGGACAAGTTGAGGGTGACTAGTAAGCATGAGGAATTCATTTCTAGGTTCAATGAGTCATCAAGAACCTTTTTGGCACAGCGTTGTGCGAACAGCCGTGGTAGGTACTTGATGATAGCACAGTATAGGGATAGGCGTAGGAAAGGAGTTGTGATGGTGCTGGAAGGCGCGAATGGAGAAGGATGGGCATCAATCTCCCGGGTATTTCAAACTGTTGTTGATTCTTTTGTTGCTGGAGATAACGCCAAACGTCGACCAGTGAATGAACGTAATCGACAAAGATTGACTTATGCAGACGTAACAGCAAACTTACATACATCGAAGCAGGCTGACCAGCGGATGCAACAGCAAAAGGAGATGACTCTCAATGTCAGTGTAAACGAAGGTCAGGATTGTTGTTTGAATAGGGCTGAAATTATGGCCCATGTCCAGGAATTGAAAGGAGCGTTGGAGGAATTGATTAGGCTAGTGGGAAATGGGTATGAAATGGGTCCCAAGAAGTTATTATGTTGTCACAAGTGTGGAG